TGTTGACGAATAATAACCGATGTAATTGAAGACGACAACAGCTTGTTAACGCGGGATAAACATTCGAAAGTGAAACCTAATACATGGGTGGTCAGTGTCCTGTTCTGCTGATTTTCAAATAAAATATACCCCAATCTAACGCGTTCCATCTTAAGACTAATATTATTGAGCTGTCTTTTGTGCGATCTGAATTGGCCAATCAATGAAAGAATACGGATGGGTATTTTGAAGTGAATAAAGTTTGACAATGTTTGGAATTACGGGACAATTGTATGACAGCCTGTTGGCACGCGATGCTACACGGACTTTAAAAAATTCCAAATATTCTGGTATCACAAAATAAATCAGATTAACTGTTTGAAAACCCCCATTGAATGTGTGTGTATCAAACCCAATATCCAAATTAATGTAGGATATTACTGAGACCGCTGTTGTATTGCTCTGATAATAAAATCAAGTATGCGAATATTTTTGCTCTTTTCATTATTGAAATATGCGCATGTACCTCAAGAGCCATGTCGGGGCTGATAGCCTTATCCCTGCGATTCGAATATTATTGAGCCTGTTTCGCTTTCCAGCGTAAAAGCAAATATATCATATCAAATAAATCACTTTTTATAGGACTCTGAGCATTCGCGGGCTGTATTTAATTATACATACGGGGAATTTAGTAAATCAGTTTTATGCTTTTTAGGATGGCTTAATCGAATTATTGAATGTCATGATTTATTTAAGATTCATATTTTATTTATGAATGATCTAATCAAAGCAAGCTCACGATCATTTAGTCAAAACATTTGATTCGATAGAATGCAGCATTCAACGAAAAGAGCATTCAGTCTGCGACCTTTTTTTGTTCAATCATATTGTTGTTCAGTTATTTTTAAAATTCACTAGTTTGTGTGGCTCAGTATACTCATGTAGACCAAAAATATGTAAACGATGTTAATTTTTATGTTTTGTTTGGGCAGACGAGTTTTCTGTGTACTGTAAATATGCCAATGTCTGACAGAGTTTTTGGAATTGGTTAGGTTTATCTTAATTAGCAATCTATGACAGATAGAGACGTTAAGTTCACGGCTTACAGAATGATCCGTAGAATCTTCTTAAACAAAAATAAGCAAAATATACCGTACTTTCACAGAACCTCAATATTTAACATAACCTGCCCATATTCTTTGTATACAACTTAGTATGGCACCTCAAGCAATGTGTCATATTTGATAGGTTCGACCCCACTATAGCCTACGCATATTGAAACAAATGTACGGGCTCGGTTCGCTTATTGAACAGTAATGGCGAAACGAAGATCAAGTAGCAATATCGCACACTCGGTGGATGTATAGTCTTCCTATTATAGTCGACGCTTGGCAAAAATAAAGTCAAATTTACTTATTCAAATCTCCATAATCATCTTTTTCCTATGTCTGGCAGATATCAAATTTCTCCCATTTTGACTTGATTGGGTGATTGATCTCATTGGAAAAAATTATTCCAAACATAATCGACATATTTTCGTGTATGGTCGATTTTCAAACTTTCGGATTGCTGTATATAGATTTGAATACACAATGTCAGGCATTCCGAGAAAGTGTAAGATTAATTCGAAGAAAAAAGAAAAAAAAATGGTATAAATATAAAAAAAAAAGTATAAGTTTGGATACGTCTGTATTTTCGAAAATATGCTGAAACTTTTCTCATTTGTTGTTGGCGATTGTGAAGGTATCTCAGGACACCAGAAATAGTTTTTGTTCACTTGTGCTCAAAATAAAAATATAAAGACAAATGAAATATTAAATTGTGAATAACGAGCATATAGTTATATAATAGCTTAGAATAACGACAAGGTTTAATTATCATTTTTAACTCTATTTGTGTACTACCGGAACAAAACACATTAATTTCGCTCAGTTAATAGGAAACGCTCCCCTGGCAAGCAGAACAAACAAACGGATTTCGGCCTAACGTATCATACAACTAATATGGACACAATTACGAAGGTATATTTCAGTGATGAGGACTGGGTCTTATATCGCCTTTGTTTATTATGGCGTTAGGATTCAGCATAACAATAAACTGCAAAATATTTATCACAAACATAATTGATTGTTAGTTACACTTGGGTTTGAAGGTGAGCTGATTGTTCACTCCTGGCCTTTTGAAAATGCAAGCCAGTAATGTAATCACCCATGCGGAGAATTAGACTCAATATATCAGAACAAAATTTGATTCCAAACAAAATTGTTGTTTATTTCCCCGCCTACGCTTTGTTGGTTTTTAATGCCTGCACATGCGAAAAATTTTATACCACAAGGTGCCGTATGAATTTTCCAAAATATTTTGTTATTCAGAGATATATGCCGCATTCTTTATTGATTGTGCAGTAAAATGACGTTGTTTTTTCTTTCATGTCTTTCCTGCGACAAAAACACAAACCAGAATATTTAATAAGCTTCGATCGTCTGGGGAATTGAGCTTAACTTGGACGTCGAACAGAAAAACAAAAATAGTAATAACAGCGAGGATAGGGGTGTGTACAGAATTTGGACAAAAACATGGAAAATGGAATGTTTCCTCGAAAGGATAATACTCGAAATAGAATTGTCATAAAAAATAACTTTTTACAATACAATATTCTATATGGCATGATCAATTGTAAGAGGGGACTCGGGATTAAAATGAAAATTTCTTTAGGAATATATAACTTTCAAAAATTGAGAATAGAACTTTTTGAACCTGAATAAGCGTACTCTACGCATTATTGAAATATGTACCATTGCGTTACTTCTTGATTGGGACTTGTACTCTTCCAAATAATTTGTATCCACCAGTCACCAGTTTTTTGTCAGTTAGGTACATGCTAGCAGGGTCAATAATTAACTTAATTTTTAAACTATGAATTTCTTTTAAAAGTGAAACATGTGTTTGGGGTTTAGAAGTTTTTATTCACACTCGTGGTTGCAGAACATTGATATAGTTATGAGGGCAGAGCTATTTAATTTGTAATTGGTTGTTCCAGGCGTTTCGTATTAATTAAAAATGTAAGGACTTCGTCGCTGAAAATACAAACGAAAAGTCTGTTGCTCACGCTAGAGTACTTACTACGTTTTGAAATATCATAATGAAGCCATCAACTATTCAATTAGAAGTAGACGCCCCTTGAATAGTAATATGCAGAACAACCGTTGTGTTTATTAATATGAAATATGACACGCCGCGTATTAACAATGATATACCATACAATTTATGAGCATGTACTCTTATTCACCATTGTATTTATTGTCATTGGTTCGCTGGATACTATTTATGAATTTATGAGTAATTTGTGTAATCGACTGCAATGGAGTTTACGGACTGAGCGTTCCAATCATTTTTTCGCATAATCGGATCTCTATATTATATATCGATGTCTCACGGGCTCGGTTTGGGGTCTTATTCGAGGGTTACCCGTCGCCCGAGGAGATCTCTACTCAGAACGTCTTTTATCTGGCGTTAAATTACAATCATCAGCAAGAATAGTATCGGATTTCAACTGTAGCTCTTTGTGCAGAAACTAGCTTTAGTAGCACGCTGTTATCAACTCCGTTATCATTCACCAGAATTTTATAATCAATAATTCCAATAAAGCGTTAAATACGATAATAAAACATTCCTAGTACAATATTAAAATTAATAACGAAGCGCCCATTGAGGTGTGATGATACGCCCCTTAATTTTTGAAAAATAATAGTTCATAGACTGATAATTGTGGAGTTTTGTATCCGCCAATATTCCATTGTGGTTACTGGTTTACTCATTATTTACAACGTGGAGTAGGCACAGTTTATCGTTATTGTAGTATCTTATATTTTCAGGTCGTAGGTGGGTCGTGTCATATATAACATATATTGTCATTGAGAACTAATAAGTATGGCCGGGAAATTAGTTTTGGCGTTGGATTTTAAGAAGGTTAAGATATTACTGGTAACTAGCACGACTGTCATATAGATCAAATGCAGCACAATTCATGGTTTGAAAGTGTGTAAAGTCTGAAATAATATTTATTTCAGGGTTTGTGTTAGTATAAAGTAAAGAGTTGGTTTATGTCTGAGGATACATTCGAGTTTATTATAGTGAACAACGTCCCAAGGACTTGACGCAGGATTTTTAATTCTATCCGCTTTTTAATCTATGACATGTCTTTCATGTCAATTTCAATGGACCGCAGGCCCGACCTATGGCCACAATTTTCACTGCAGTATTTTACGTTATCACCAAGAATCCAGCATTAATCGTGGGCAATGGTTGCTCTTTGGGAGTGGCTACCAATTCTCTTAATCACTTTTATGGTCACTACTTTATTACACAAGATTTTGTAGTAGAAGTAGATTGAGAAGTAGCCAGAAGTCGAGGGAATTTCTGATGGATCTCGAATTTCATTTTAGTCTAAGCATAAACTGATACAGCTGCGTGTCCTACTTTATAGTCCCAAGTGTGTTATATTCGTCTTTTGGGAAAATTTAATGTAATTAGTTTATACAGATGTAACATTTTGATCACAACAAAGATTCTATTCAGCATAAATCACAACATTACGTCATTTATGGATCATATACGTTCTACAAAAATATTTGATAAACTAATTTTGAAATGTTACCCACCTTGTGATTGAACCATTAAATGTCTAACTTTTATTGCCTCAATTTTCGCGTTAGGAAAAGATGTGGAACTATATATATATCATATTTAGTTAATCGGGTGTTATTATATTCAACGAATAGAGAAGTCTATTTGGTATATAGCAATCTTGTTTATGGCGTCATGTTTAATGTACATTCTACTCCAATCCTCGATGATAGAGTTCTGAAATACTCCAGTATTCACCTATTGTCGAAATGATTATAAGAGTTAAAATTGTGTTTACCAAATATTACTGTATGACCGATTTTTAAAATAAAAAATCTGTATTTTTTAAAGCCTTCTCAATTATACATAGCCTATATATATATATGTATGCTATAAACCTATCTACGCGCAAGCCGAATATTTTGCGGAATAAACTGTGACGTAAGAAATGGCTGACCAAATTCCAGCAGTGTCGTCACAATTTGAAGCTGATAATGAGACACCATTTGTCATCAGCCAGGACCAAGGTATGTCTTCAGGACTATTTTCATGGCGATGAAAGCTATATTTCAATTATTGTGAAATGCATCTTATTATTGAATAACAAAAACTTCATGGTTCGCGAGATGTCGTGAGTGAGCACGTTAAATTACGTCGTAAATTGTTCAAATTTCGAAAGTTTGATTACAAAAAGGAACAAGATAATATAGAAGACGAAATGGTGTCATGTTTATTCCATTCACAGTATATGTTTAATGTAGCTCAAAATTTGAGCTTTTTCATGTATATTATATGTGCATAATTTCAACTTTTGCCATTTTAGGTATGAGAATCTTAATGTCATGGAATATACTCCGTATTGCACTGGGTTTTCTCTTGTTTCTCTTTTATTTAATGTCACACTTTTTGACTGTTTATGGCGAATAATGAAACGCACTCCAATGCATGCTTTCATCGAATATTATGAGAGAAAAATAGAATAGTTGAATTAATTTTAATATGCAAAAAAATTGTATCTGTACTTATAGCAAGGGACATATCTTGGTAAACCCAATTACGCCTCTCCCATTAGCCGACATCCGCGTAGTGGTTCCGTTTTGGACACTATGTGCATCAAAGAATTGTTTTATGAAATGTTGTTGCGCTGTTGTCGCTAGAAAGCAATTTCTTTTAATTTTTGTTTAAAAATTCACTTCCTTTCTGAATTTTATTTCATATGAATAATTTTATCTGACACCTGGGAATCTTTGGACTTGATATTCCTATATTTTTTAACTCGCAAAAATACGGGGTAAAACGTTAGGCCTAAGTACTGTGGTGGTTATGAATTGTTAGGTCAAATGAGTGCTGGCTTCTAAAAGATACATTTTCTTCAACTCCGACCATTAAAGTTGAATTCTCATTAAAAATACAAATACAAATTACTTTCATTGATAAAGAGAACCTTCATGACCTGCATCCCACTGGGACAATATAATTTAATTGCAACTGCTAATGCTTGTTTTTAAATTGTCAACGCGTTTATGGCTACATTATTATATGTCATGATATAAATTCATGCGGTGAGATATACTGTATATATATATATATATATGTATTCGGTGAGATAGTGTGTTGCTCTTTATGTCGATATTTCGGAATAGTGGATTATTTTTTATTTTCAAGATATTAGTAATATCATTCAGAATGCAGTGCGAGTGTTTTTTATTTTTATATGTATATTTTCAGTTTAGTCTTTATATGGAAAAGAAAAAAACTGGCAAATACAAAAACGTTGCAAATATACTTCATTTTTCAAAGTGAGGTTTGGTAGCTGATTTACTTTCCCTTGGAAATACTTTTAATTAGATTGTTTTTCTGGATCAGGTAAATTTTCGTATGGTTACTGCTTTTTGTTTGGAACAACATGTTAAATTTGGTATTAATGTAAAACGGCAGCCTAACATTTCCGTCGACATATGTTGTATTTCCGCTGGTTTCTTGGGTCTCTGTACTCTCGTTCTTTGGAATAACCTGAATGTGCCTGAGCATAATTGCTGTAAGTTTTTACGGTCAAAGTATACAAATATTGCAGTTTATGAAATAGAAAGAGAGCCAGCCAAATGGCCATTTCACAACAATATAAAAGTATAGAATATCTATCACCAATCATTAGCTAACAGTTTCGATAAGTGATATTTCAAAAACTTTGCCCAAAGTTTAATTAATTGGTTTTTAGGGTATTTACCGAAAACAGAATATTAAAGCAGCATGGAATATCTAACGTCTGACATGGGCACTATTGATATGTTTCATGTCACAAATTACGAACTATGATTTAAAATAAATATGCTATGCTAATAAATTCTGATATTTTTTGGGTTTGGAATTCATGATTTATTGTGCATGCCAAAATTTGTGTTTACCCATACTCTAGTAGAAGTCAGCCACGCATTATTTAGCCAAATGCTCATACACGTGCCTATACCCTCGAGGGCTTCGGCCTCTCGCTTGTTTACGATGCTTCGTGTTGTGTTCTTATCTTTTATCAATAAGTTTGCTTAAACTTTGCTACAAAATTGACTGACGTCACACTCTTAGTAGGTGATAGCATCTCGGGCACATTCCATTGGGTATGACGTAACAATATAAATGCAATGAAGCATGCAAAATCTCTCCTTGCGCTTGATTTATTTTACTCTCTCGTCCTGTAATCTGTCCAAGAATCGCATGAATGATCACATAATGCAAGAAAGGTATGCCTACGAAAGATAAGGCATTTTATGCCTCAACTAACCGTCTAAGTACGCTGGATTAGTTTCAGGCGTCGACTAGTGAAAGCCCCAATTGTGTGGTATTTTTCGCGCTTTCTATGGACAATACTTTTGCTATGTAATTAGTGTTTCAAGTATTAGTTCCGTGAATATAAGTATACGGTGTTAACAGGATTTATTGAATGAATGCATATTATTATACCTTGGTTTGAGATAAATTTCCTATTTAGAATCTAATACTATCAAATGATGCATTCGTTTCAAGTTTGGCTACGGTCACAGCGATCGAATTCAATTTATATATTTTATTCTTGGCTTGTATTTGATGCATCTTTACTTTCTTGCAGTTTCTTCCTGTTATTGCAGCAAAATCGTAGTTCTCCGTTTTTGTTTTATCTGAACTCTCTGTATGTAGAATCTGTTAGTTATAATGCTATAAATATATATGATTTTAACAATGATTCAATATTTGGTTGCTGACGAATGTATTTTGTGAGTTTTCATAGATATCTGTCCTGCTGAACAAAAAGTACAAAATAGAATTAATTCTGATGGTACTGAATAAAGATTAACACAGAAAAGTATTAGTTTGTTAGTTGTATGAGTGCACACAAGGCATCGGAGCAAGGAAACCTTTCAATCATATTTTCTGACAGGTCGTGGTGGCTTTGTCGAGCAACTTGAACTGATTCGCGGATTAGTAGTCAGCCACAATGTGGTATAGAGATATTCACTTACCAGCTCAATTGCTCCGTAAATATTCATTTAGCTTCCTACAATGATTGTATGGAAACATACGCCTTTGATTGGTCTTTATAACGCTTATAATATATCTAAGTATAGTTGGTACTGTAAATTGACTAATATTGAGCCTGTAGTGTATTTAGAAGAACAAGAACTTAATATTTTACTGAGTTTCAACACTCAACGTTAACCAATTCACGCAATTTGTTACGATTGTTTGTAAGACGGTGGAGGTTATTATTGGCTCGCTATGTCGAATCTTAGTTTTTTTTATATCTCTAACACGTGATGCTAACAGAGTTGACCATCTGTGCGTAAAACCTTATGATATTAATGATGACTTGATATTATCATTTGTATATATTTCTCGGTATTCCATGAATATTTAGTCGTAAAGCATTGTGCAATATACCTCCGTTGTTTATCATATTATTTTGGACAGAAACTATTGTAAAAAATGAATATTTGAAAATTGTACATATCGAACCACGTTACTTGATTAATAAATGCAGGCACCCCTCTTTTTGTTTGTTTTCTTTATGTTCCAACAAACTGCTCTTGAAGTGAACATATCCAAAAGCTTTTGAAGACACTTCAACATAAGCACCCATACCAATATTAACCCCTTGTTGGCACCTAATTCGTGGTTTATGGTTTGAGTTATAGTTATTTTTAGAATATATACAAACGTGGTAACATAAATACTAGATCGCTTCTAGATTGCTTACGTATAGACCCCATATCATTTCCTAGCAGTTGAACTGTTTCACGTAGAAAACTTACAGTTTAAGATACATCTGTTCATTTGATTGCTAATTTAAAAACCAATGATAAGCACCTCAGTAGTAGAACGAGCTTGATACTTTCGAGGGTTTCTCATAGACATATATTTTTGAAGATTTTCCGATATATTTCATATTATTTATTACATATCCGTTATAGATGAAGATGCTTTTCCAGATGCATCACGAGTCTTGAATCATAATACTGGCTGAATATAAAACAAAATAAATATAATCAAACACCCGAGTATAAAACTTAGCTCAGACGATGCCCGACCATAGCGATTCCCGTCCATTCATAATATAGCGTTTCATATGTCGGTAACTTCTTATCTACAGCCTTTATCCTGAGAAGATAACCCCTAAAACTCACATTAAATTTTCGGGCCGAACCCCAAAATACGTAAAAGACGATTGATACGGTTTAGTCACAGTAGTGATTGGCTGTCAATGCGTTAATGTATCAATGATCTCTTGAGTGTGTTTTCGTTATGACGCAACAATGTGTTAGCTATTGTGTTTGTGATGGATGATTTTGACGCAAAAATAGAAACAATCAAGTCGATCGTTTTCACAACATTTTTGTTCTATTAATGGTCATTGAGCTTATGTAAACCCATCGTCTACTCATAGAATTGTTCAGTGTTGTTTTTGATTTGAGCGGTTACGAATTATAGATTTGAGGCATAAGCTAAAGAGTATAGATCAGGTTGCTCAACTAGTGTTAATGGGCTTAGAAGGGGAGAAGTTGTGACAAAGTTAGATCATGTAACATCCGTATGGTCTCGACGTGTCGTTACAAATTTCAGTATTGATTTTACTGGGTTTCCCAAAGTGCAATATGTTCGCGCCTTTTCCTTCTTTCGCCATTATATAAAGTAAAATTAATGTCTTCTATAGATCCAAGATTATTTTTCTTTGTTGGCATTCGCGTCATGTAATTGTATCAATTTATGCAACAAATTGTTTTAGGAGAAAGGAACAAACGAAAATTTGAATAGGCTGCCAAAATTCATCCCCACAGTCTTAAATTTTTTGCCTACTCAATTTCCGTTCGCTATTAAAACATATCGAGATTTGTTTAATTTTAATTGAATCGGGTTCAGTTACCGCCAGAAACTTCATTTGTATCGTACGTATGGATATGAGGATTTGAGTTGTTTAATATCAACTATATGTTTGATTTACAGTAAATAGCATACTTAATATCACGACTGAAGCGATTCAGCCAAGGACCCACCTCCCCAAAAATTTTCTTGCGTTTTTTTTTGTTTGTTTCGCATAGCTAAGAGTCCACCTTCAATATTTCATTCTGTATATTACAGTTCCTGTCGTTCCTAATCATGTTAACTATTGTATACGTATATTGTATTGTGTTGATGTTAAACTATCTTCTAGAATTAGACAAATGCAACAAAAGAACATTAGGCGTTCATAGCGTCGACGTAAGCGCTATTCACAATGCTCGGTATTTTTAGTGGGCAGTAATATTTCAGCGCATTGCTTGTTAGATTTTATCGCTGTTTATTATTCTGGTTGATAAGTGCTGAAGTGAAAGTTGTCTCACGGCTAGAATGAAATATTTCAGCATTCAGTCAGAACGTTGCTCATTTGGGCGAAGGATTTTAGAAATTTTAGGGTGATTTTAAAGACACTATAAATAGTATTTGCGACGTGATGACTAGTTGTTCATAGAAAACTTATCTCTATAGGTTATTAATCTCAGCATCAATATCCATGCCTAAGTTTAAAAAATTGAAGGGACTATACCAAACTGTAATGTTTAGTCATTAGATTTTTACGCATTTTTTGTTGTGGTCTCTTCAGTAGTTGTAATTAATGTGTGATACGCCTCATCAAATCCCTGTTTTTTATCTATTACGATGGCATGGAAATTGGGTTCTAGAAACAACTGTGCGGTTAGTTGCAATACTAATCTGATTTGAGATTGAAAGATTGTGTTTTGTTGTTAATGACAATCTGGGTATTCAGGTGAAAATTTAATTTATGGTATCTACTTAGTTTTGATATATATTTTAAAGTTGTATGTTTTTTTAAGAATTTTATTTTTATAGTTTTGTGTTTGTATAAATATTATTTATTATTATATTATTCAGATTTTACTCATTGTCGAGGACCGCTAGATGGCAGTCCATATGCAAAAGTGAAAAAATATAAAAAATCAGATCATGTTGAAGTTGATCACGTGACAGATAACTACAAAGTTACAACCGAACACGAACTTTCCACTTACGCATCTTGCCAAGAAAATCAATCTACCAATCACACGCCATTAAAAGACAATTCCACCAATCAGAAAGCCCCAAATCCACACGTTGTAGTGGTGGGAGGGAATAAAATAATTTACAAACCCGATAATGATATAGGTATGTGATTTATATTTATTAAAAATGACATAGTTTGAATAACTTTTATTTTGTTCCGTAAACATTGAACAACCGTCTTGGCCAATAACAACATTTTCCAATACCACATTCTTTATTTACGTATGCGTAATTTATTCAAGCTTATATTTTTGATCTGTGTTCTTTGTGAAGTGAGGTTTATAGGACCTCAAGAACACCTCTCCTCTCCGCACCCGCAAACACAATGATTGTATGTCAAGATAAAATTAAATTCGTATGGTGATCGAGATTATGTATTCAAGCCCATAAAAAAGTTAATACTTCTTGGTATATAAACATTATAAAATTCGCTACTTTTTTCTTGTTGAATTATATGCACTTACAGTATAAATTTCTTTTTGACAGATTTTACAATAAAAACATTCATATCTGCACCATTGGCGACACTTCCTGAGTTCAGCAGTTCGTATTTTTCAATCGCGTCATCACGCGAATCTGTGCCGTCACAAGTTGACGCAACCTCTCATACTGTGACGTCATCAAATTTAATAAACATTGAAATTGACGAATCCAGCAAAACGGTCTCGTCGCCCCAATATACGGATAAAGGGTCAGATTCGGACAATATGGCGGACGGGAGTATTCAGCAAACTGCTGCACAGATTGTTGATGACGTCATGAAGAAATCAATCATGGCGAAACGATCTGATGACGTCACTCGCCTTCGATATTCAGAAATAAGTTCCTGCAGCGCAACCACCCTCAGTTCAACGACAACGGAGGAGGGAGGAGGCCCGCATCTGTGAGTTTTAGATTGTTGTTTTTAATATATTATACTTACTATTTATTTTGCTATCATGTGTACCTGATTGTGTTAATCTAAAATATTAAACCCAAGGATTCTTATAAGCATCTCTATCCAGCAGTTCTGTGGAACCCCATTCAAATACGTTACGGAAGGCTATCGGAATTAACTGTATACAGTCAGTTAGCAACTTTTCACCTTGTTGTTCTGACGGAGACAAATAACTTCCTCATATTCTTTGCTTGTGCTGTCAAGCGCTCGTGCTTCGTTGTGTATCTTAAATTGGTGTTTTAGTTAATGGGGCAGGATCAAATGGAATCAATAAGTTTGGGGATAAGTTATGAAAATTGTTTCATTAGTTTTTCAGCTAGAGTGATCTAAGCCAAGTTAAGGACTCGTTTTCAAATTGTCATCACATTTGTCGTGCTCTTACTTTCCTCATCAGTCATCACTAAAAATAGTAGTCTCAGATTGACGATGCTCAATTTGAAAGACGATTTATTACCTTCAAAATCGATATAAATCAAAATGTTTAATGATAATATGAGTCGAAGTTTTCATTATTTATTTACTAGTTTGTTATTCGACTTAAAGCAATGTCGTCCTATTTATACTACGTTTATGGTGCTCCAAGTTAACTGGTCAGTTGAGAATTATAGCCGCAGAAAATTAACAATTAAAAAGTGATAATTTTCTGCATTTAGTATTATAGTCAGGAGACAAACAAGTGTACTTATGTTTGAGATTGAAGATTATTTTTGCATAGATTTCATTTTTTTGGTTGAATTTTTCTACGAAAATATACGAAACCAAAAAATGTAGCAATGTTCGCTGAAGATTCGTATGACTTGAATTTTTACATATCGTCACGCTAATAACCGAATTGCGTAAGTCATTTTTGGCGATTTTGAGTTTTTTATAAAATAGGTATTTATGTAATGCTGCGCACCTGCCTGTTAACTCAGATTTTATTTTAAGAATTCCGAAACCCATAAAAATGGAGATGTATGACATGCACATTTGTGCAATTGTTTCGTCATAATGAATTACCATTGGTACCGCAGGACTATTGTGACGTCACAAAGGCAAAATAACTTCGGCTAAGGATTTTCGAGTTTTTGCATCTCAGATTCTAGCTTAGCGCGTATTAATTTGAATTTATACTACAGTATAGGAAGACGTGCACTTGTGATATTCACTGTCCGAGTCCAATTCACATTGGTTGGCTTTTATATTGGGAGCATTGCTGTTTTATTCTTTATATTAAATCTTAGTCTTATTTCGGTGGGTGTACAGAACGTGTTATATTGATGAAATATATATTTTTAAACATAAAAAATAATGTAATTGAAACTGATTAGCTATTTTGGGGATTAGACATTGTAGATACTAAGAATTACATTCGTTTTTGGAATGTTCAGTTTTCAGGACTGGTGCATATAGTATAGTTGCAAAATTGCGTATGTCCCCAAGTCATAGACACATTTCTGCGTAAGTCACAGTGCGCCATTATGACGTCACTTAACTGCGTCATACAAATTAACTTAAATCCGGCTACGATCAAAAAATTGAACCATGATAAATTATTGACTCTCAATGGCATAACAATATCATTAGGAAGTTTTTTACGTTTTTCTCAAAACTGCTAAAAATGACTTACGCAATTCGGTTATTAGCGTGACGATATTCTTAGTAACCGTCACACAAAATCACAGGATACAAATATTTTTACTACTTGATTCATGTCAGATTCGGATTTGAACTTAACAGACGTATTATATCAATAGTAGAGATTTCAGGTGAAAATACTCAGAATGTTGCGTAGTCAACAGCTTTAAAAGAAACTCGACTGTTATGTAGGGGGATTATGGGTAGCTTGTGGCCGTATTTACTTGTGTTGACATGCAGTTTTCACTCAGCCGACCAAGCAACCGTGAAAAGTGCCGGATGTTTAGAATATCTGAGTCTTGAATCACTGACATATCGCAGACGATTGCCTAACGATCTAACTCATTTGTGGAAAATTGTCTACCCCGCCTGATAACTTTACTAAATTTATTTTTGACGCCCATTTGCATCGCCCCCGACCGAATTCTGAATTGTTTTTACTCTCGTGCCAACCGCTGTCAACTGATAACTCATTCACAAGTTTTTATTTTATTTAAAGTTTGATATTACCATGAATATGAGCAAACTCTCTATTCAGAAAGCAAACGAAAAAATGTATTTGTACGACAAAATGTAATATTTGTGTGACCATACATAATGCATTGAAAACATTCATGGGTTTAGGATATCGGACCATTTGTATAGGTATAATGATTTTTCCATTTAAATTCAAACAAATTGCAAATTTATTTTACTGGCAACTCATTTCGATATGATCTTCAATATTCACAAACAACTCCATTACGGTCACGATCAAGACCATTTTGTGTTCGCATTCCAATGAAACGAACGTCATGTGCTTTGTGATTCTGTACCAAAGTAATGCGGGTATGTCTCCAATCCGAGGATGGGTATCCTGTTATCCACTTTAAAAATGGCGCCACCGTACCATTACGAAGGACGGTTATCTCTGACTGTTAATAGAATGTAAATTTTAAATTAATGGTTTTCAAAGAAACTTAAAACAGTCTTTTTAAATTCAGATATATCTCATAAATTTTTCCTCGCATTAAGTTACAGAAAAGTAAATGAAGTAAACAATTAAAGATTTTCTATATGTACACATTTAAAATAATGCATTCTGCATCCCTATTACGCAAACTGAAAAGATTCCGGTGGTTTAAAATAGTAGTAGCTGCTTAGATATCGGCAGCTATCTTAGATACCTAACCCTAAAAGAGGTTTTATTTAAATATGTAAATACCGTACCGTTGAATTGAATCTCATTCCAGTCCAAGGGAAAGTATCATTTCGTGTTAAAATAATCTTGGTTTGCATGTACTCCATTAGCAACGTATACTGCTGCTCTGAATATATATTAGCTGGAACTCCGCCCCTGGCAGCGCAAATTTGTCTCCCAGTATCATAGCTTATCCCGTAAGCTAGAGACACAATTGAGTAGCATTTATCTTCTGATTTGACATCACAAACTCCTAGAATACGAAGACAAAAAAGTTGTTGTATAGTTTTAAATGCTCATGAAATTTAAATAGTGAATGCAACTTATGACACCAAAACATTTTGGTAACAGAATCGTGTATATCACATAATACAAGGTGACAAAAAAACATAAACTTCCCACTTAAGTGAAAGAATTGCGTTTAAGACTTGCATACTAACAATTCTGGGAACTCCCAAAGTATGTGAATCAAGATGGCGAACACCGACACAACGTAGTATGTGTACCAGGCCATTAGGCCATATTTCTATTCCGATTTTTTTCAGTATTCTAGTTCTATTACGAGTTCGGGGACTAGCCAAGAGACTCCCGTAGTATTTGTACCTGAAATTAGGGCCCAACCTTAACCTGGTACACATACTACGATCCGGTGTCCGCCATCTTGGTTCGCATACTTCGAGAATACCCAATTATGTGTGTAGCTTTATACAAAAGTATGTAGTATGAAGTACTCCTATGAAAATTATGTTCAAAATGACCTGGGTTCTGTTTTCATTTGATTACTGCGAAAATGCAATTTATAGGACAAATTGTATATGTTTATATTTAGTTTCTCACGCCTTGGTGGACATATATGGGTGGATTATTGACTGAATTTAGGCTACTTGAGATTAAAAATATAATAAAGCCATATTGATCACTCAAATATTTAGCTTGCAAATATTGTTTGCTTGAAGTATTTTTTTTTTTTTTTTTTTGTTCAAGGGAATTTAATCTCAAAGTCATAGCACGTGCATTCACGTGGAACATAGCACATTGTTCTTCTTATATTTTTTGTAGAAGGGTACTAAGTTGACAGTAGATAATAAGACTACATGAATAGTATAGTGCAGAATTGCACGTTAGTTAATGCCTTTCGAATGGTATATTTTGTAAAATGTTGAAAACACTGACCTAAAGTAAATAGAAAACTTACCCTCTCTTGCTTCCATTTTTGCAATTATTAGCTTGGCCTCGTCAAGATCCTCCTGAATTTGAGCCATTTTGTCGACCACGGTTGAATTTATTCCACATGTTTTACAAGAGTTGCAGGCTTCTGTGCAAAACGGCACAAACCCTGACGCAGAGGCTAAGGGTGCGAAAAGCGCAACAGCAATAAAAACAATCGAAATCTTTATTGGATTCATGTTATAACGTTACGCTTTGAAATAATCTCCAAGCATCTATCAACTATGCAACGGGAAAATCGAATATATTATTGGTGTTTGTCAAACACAACTCCAGACAACCCTGCGAGCGTGAAAACTAAAATATCTCAATTGTACTACAAGAAACTACTTGGTAATGCTGCCAAATAATGCGCCTCGCAAAATTTTTGTGCACAAGTAGAGAAAAACAGCTCAAATGCGGTTACGAAAATGAAAGACTATGGATTAACTTCCTTCAAGTAACATTAAAGCTCAACAACCACCAATCCTTTAATTACTAACATGATGTCCAACGCATAAAACCTGTTTACTCTGAGCATGTTTTTTATAATTGTTGAAAACACTCAAAGCGCCATAATTGCTGCGATAAAAGTCACGTCTAACGTTTGGAGGAATATCAAATCCTTGTCGCCACTAGGTACAAAAAAGTTGAAATAAAACATAGTTAAAAAATAAATTTTGAAAATTGGAAGAATTGTTAATAAGGTAATAAAAGTTGTTGATGTAGACCCGTTTGGGATACATAGTATAATGTATCCGTAAAGTCTTAAAATTTTATAAAATTGCGAAGGGAATTTATCGATACCATATATTGTTTTGGCCCTAACAGATGTATTGAATGAAATTCTTTAACAATTTCGCATTGAAAACAACAAACCCGGTTAAGATATATTAAGAACTGACTTCATAACAAAATTAAAATTGTAAAGGAACTTTATGGACACCCTGTCTTTTATGTGTTGAACAAATACGTTAACACTATTTTAAATTGATATAATTCTGTGAACTATTTTGATATGATATAGACATCCCTATACATGTACTGCCTCAATGACAAAACACTTTCTATATAACATTTTGAAACGAATTAGGAAGTTCTTCAATTTGATAAGATGGTTTATAACTGTATGTTTCATTCTTTTCTATACTTATTGATTTGCACTCTGCGCAGAAAATGATTTTTAAAAATTTAAGCTTTGAACTGTTTTGAGAATGTGAATATATTCATCAGTACGATAAATTCTATAAAGACCATAATACCAGGGTGTCCATAAATTCTTTTAACAATTTCAATTTTGTTTTGAAGTCAATTCTCAATATATTCTAACCAGGTTTGTTGTTTTTAATCAGTAATTGCTCAAGTATTTTACCTCATTTAAAATATACAAGCGAGGGCCAAAACAATATATGTTATCGATAAATTCCCTTTGCAATTTTAAAACTTTTTGAGACTTCATGGACACCCATTATATTTGCTAAAAAAGTGACATATTTACTAAAGTCAAAGTAGTCTGCATTTTCAATATATATATTTCCAATTAAATTAAAAAAGTCTTTCGATTTTCAACACAGGGTTGTGTTTTGTCATGTTTCTCAGATCAGTGGATTTGTTTCAAAGTCTTCAATTATGGTTTTACATTAAAAACGTGATTAGTTGATGTTTTTAGAATTCACTATAGCTGTCATTAATTCGAAAGCTCTTAGGTGGCTTATTTTTGCAAAAATTTTTGTTTTGGATTTTTGTAAAAAAAATGAGATTTTTTGGATAAAAATACAGGTTAGCAAATTGATTAAGACTGCAAACAATTATCAGTCGGTCGAAGAGAATGCATATCAGTCGTTTTATTCATGTCGGAATTGAATTTCAAAAATCGCGCCGCATGCTTTGGAGATATGATAGCTCACGTTTTTGACATGTGAAACGCAACGTTGGCTACTGAATGTAGATATTATTTTTAATTAGAAATATTTGAAACACTTCAAAACAACTAAGAGGTGGTGCAAAGCTTTTGTGCACAAATAGAAAAACAGCTCAAATGCGGTTACGAAAATAAAAGACTAAAAAAATTTCCTTCAAGTTGCTTTATCAACAACCACCAATCCTTTAATTACTATCTTGCTGACCAAAGCTAAAACTTCTTTACTGGGAACATGTTTTGTAGTTGTTGGAAAACACTCAAATCGCCATAATTGCTGCAATAAAAGTCACGTCTAACGTTTGGAGGAATACCAAATCATTGTCGCCACTAGGTACGAAAAATAAAAGTAATAATATATAGTGGAATAAAATTCAGTTCAAAAATTGGAAGAACTGTTAATAAGGTAACAAAAGTTGTTGATGTAGATCCGTTTGAGATACCCAGAATAATAGTATGTCGATAAAGTCTCAAGTTTTTTTAAATTCCAAAGGGAACTTATCGATACCATATATTGTATTGGCACTCACAGATGTATTAGAGGACGTAAAAATACTTGAACAACTACTAATTAAAACCAACAAACCTGGTTATGTGAATATATTCTTCAGTTTGATTGTATAATGCTATGAAAATCGTAATATATACACCAGGTTATTCATAGAGTTCCTTAACAATTTCAATCAGTCAGATATACAGGGTGTTCATGGAGTTCCTTTGCAATTCTAATTTTGTTATGAAGTCAATTCTCAATATATCCTAACCAGATTTGTTGTTTTTAATCAGTAGCCGTTCAAGTAATTTTACTTCATTTAAAATACACAAGTGAGGGCCAAAACAATATATGTTATCGATAAATTCCCTTTGCAATTTAAAAACTTTTTGAGACTTTATGGACACCCATTATATTTGCCAAAAATGTGACATATTTACTAAAGTCAATATAGTCTGCATTTTCAATATATATATTTTTAATTAAATTTAAAGAGTCTTCCGATTTTCAACACAGGGTTGTTTACGTGGTTTTTGTCATGTTTTTGTCATGTTTTTCAAATCAGTGGATTTGTTTCAAAGTCTTCAATTATGGTTTTACATTAAAAACGTGATTAGTTGATGTTTTTCGAATTCACTGTAGCTGTCATTAATTCGAGAGCTCTTACGTGGCTTATTTTTGCAAAAATTTTTGTTTCGGATTTTTGTAAAAAAAAAAAAGATTTTATGGATAAAAATGCAGGTTAGCAAATTTATTAAGACTGCAAACAATTATCAGTCGGTCGAAGAGAATGCATATCAGTCGTTTTACTCATGTCGGAATTGAATTTCAAAAGTTGCGCCGCATGCTTTGAAGATATGCTAGCTCACGTTTTTGACATGTGAAACGCAATGTTGACTATTAAATGTAGATATTGTTTTTAATTAGAAATCTTCTAGCTAGGATATTCTGTAAAATATATCCTGTCCGCTGATATTAAATTTATGTTAAAAAAAGCTTGACCTCAATGCAATTATAAACTGGTCTAAGCTTATACATATCTTTATACAGACACTAAGAAACTAGGTAAATATCGACATGGTTTATAATAGACTTGTACTTTGCGCCATTATCGCGCTTTTCGCTAATGGCGTTGTAGGGGTAGAGCCGTTCTGCAAAGAAGCATGTGATGTTTGTCAGTCATGCACTCAGGATTCTTCTGTTATGGACAAGCTGAATGAAATGTCCAGCGATCTGGAAGAGGCGAAAGCGACGATCGCGAAAATGGAAGCCAGAGAAGGTTAGTTTTGTTCAATGAAATCTCGAGTCTGCTAAATCGTATGTATTTCTTTCAACAAGTCGCATTTTCACCACCCAACATGTGTTAGCGATTACTATTATGTTATATAGCTGGACGCTTTTTCAAGCCCTTTCTCCCCCTAACAAGGCTTAGTACAAGCCGCTACTTTTTTAGAATGTGTATTCACGTTTCCCAACTAAAATCCGACTAACCGCTATGCCCTCGCTCCTATCTATTTTACAATAATCATTCAAAATAAACCGCAAATGCACGGTTTTCTTCAAAATAACTTTACTTTCTTCGTTGAACTTTTCTGCCGATTTTTGGGTAGTATAAGGCGTTTCATTTGCTTTCTTTTATTTTTACAGGCCTATGCGATGTCAAACATGACGATAAATGTTTTTCCATCATATCGTTGACGTACGGGATATCATATGACCAAGCGAAACGGCTGTGTGCAGCACGAGGGGGTTCCGCAGCCAACATTTATTCTGCTGATCAATACAAAAAGTTGATGGATTATCTCTTCACAAAAATTACTCCAGGCAAAGACAAAACATTCGTTTGGATTGGGATGTTCTTTGACCCTACGGTAATTTAAAAATAGGTTCTGATTTAGGTTTCAGGTTGGGTTGAATAAAAATCCTAACCTTTGTTTATAAGTTATTTCAAATCATAAATTTAGTATAACCGACCATATAAAACTAGCGAGTGCTTGATCTTACTTTACATAAGTATGCGAGTTTCACTCAATACTGGCCTGGAAACGTTTATAAGAATTTTAATTAAAACTTATTCTTTTATATAACTTTCACTGTAATTATTTTTTAGAGAATGGGGCTATATCTCTCTGATGGATTGCCCGCGCCATTTGCACATTGGGTTGACGGGCACCCACTCACTGATAAAACTCATACTCGGCTAGCATTGATCCAGAACGTAAAGCAAGATGGAACCGAGCCTATTGGCATGCGAACCATGGACGTGTCGGACATGACCAGACTCGGAGTTATCTGCGAATATTAATATGTTTTATACACCTCCTGTTTTATATACCTGTTTTATAATCCTCGCGCATTTTGAAACTCATTGTAAAATTGATTTTTGAGAATTTCACTGATTTCATTGTAGAATTGAATTTTGGGATTTGAAATGACTTTACTTGATAAACATTCAAAATAAAAATCCTTGTTTATCTGGGGAGCAATGAAGTTCTAGGTTTTTATGACCTGAATAATTTTGTCTTGGAGCAATAAAATCAGATAGAAAATATATTGTTTTGATCTTCTGCATAAACACGCTAGTTGGCGCTCGCAAATGGTGTGTGTGCAGATTTTTGGGTTTTCGTACGGATGAGGTTTCTGACTCCTGTTTCAATTATAGGTTTTCTTACTACTACTCTATTTAACTTACAAGAAACTTTTAGGAATTCCGAAATACTGAAAATTAGGTCTTTGCCAAAGTGCCCAAGCCAAATGCTATTTTTCTTTCTGTATCAATAATGAGAAATCGGTAGAAAAGTAGCTGTATAGATCCCGTTTCAGTGATCCCTAACCTAACAAACGTGTACTTTGCAAATTCCTAAGTGTTTTGTCACCGCTTCATGGTGTTAGTCGTAGATTAAACCGGCTAATGTGTCAGGAACTTGGTATTTCTGTAGATTAGGGGTAACAGTGAAGATACACATCATCGTCAATGTTTCAACCAATTTTGTAGAGTACGGTATTATTGACGTAATTTTTTATAATTAGACTCCTCGATTCACCATTTATCAAATACTCTATGTCAGTGGTTCCCACTCTTTTTGGACTTGTTTGTGAATCTTATTTTTGACGGACCGTCATCCTGCGTCGTCTCAATGTCTGTTCGTAACCAACGAGGAAGTATAATGTTTCCTTTGACGAAATAAAACTCATGGAAGTCTGAATCAATACATACGAACGTTAAATACTGATAGGCTAACGGCAATTCGATAAGATTATGATATATTTGTATATGTCTCAGACTCTTTCCATATCGTTACGGGCCCCCTGTGCAGTCATCACGAACCTCCAGGGGTTCGCGGACCACAGTTTGGAAAACCCTACTAAGTGACTCGAGTTCGCTGAACGAAATGACCTGGAATATGACTCAACTAATTACCAGTGAGACTTAGCTAAGTGATTGACTCGACCTAGGATTCGCGTTTAGTGATTTCTGCCCAACACTGGCTTATGCAATTTAATAATTTAAAAGGGTAATTTGGAAGATTCACGAAAGAAACAACGGACAGTGATAAACGCGAGTCGTCAATCCTATGACGCACCATAGTTTACCATTTCCTATTGGACTTCCTTTACTCCTCCTATAATACTGAATCATATCTTTATTACATAAACCCCCATTTCTACGTTCATAATTGTTTTGAATTTTATCAAAGGAAAAATATGAATAGGCACCACAAACTTACGGAACCTGGTCATCACATATTATTTCAATTTACTGTGGATATGCAAGTTGACAAACTGCGTTGATTCAACAGTGTGTTGTAATTACACATTGCAAATATTTTTGGCATGTTAAATGTTATCGTAGCATCGTGTTATGTTTGTTATTTCAAGTGCTCTTCTCACCTAATCGTGTTGGCATTTTTGTAATGTTGGCATTTCGCAAGTAACGGACTATCAATTACATCCTAGGTGATGTTAAATATTTGTTTTAATTGCAACAATGACTCAACTGTGTCTAACTTTGATTACAAATAATAATATAGCAGCTATGTACAATATGGTAACAAATTGTTTCATATTCCGTTTATAGTTTGTTATCATATTTTACAACTTATGAAAAAAAAACGAACAATTAGCCTACCCCTAAGTATCCACTAAGTTCTAAAATTGTATCTTCCTACGTATCACTTTGGAATAAAGATGTCAAAACGTCCTATAGGATAAATATTCCAAGCTATTAACTAGTAGCCTTGGTAGTTTCATGCGCCTACCTTTGCCTTGGCCAATAACGGGAGAAAATCATTCTTACATCAGATCTAAAAATTATTAGTTCAAGTGAAATACGTATAGGAACTTGAATTAAACAAAAATATTGAAAACGGACTGGTTTAACAGCCAAGTCTGATCTGCAAAAAAACGAACGCATCGCGTCTCATGTCATTGACGATGGTCATCATCATTAAGATATAGGCTGATGGACAATGTTTGTTCAACTGTGCAAACTTTCAGTTGACAAATTATCAATCATCATTTTTGTTGTTATTTTTTCAACATTCATATAATCATCTCTGATGTTTCATTACTCAAATAGCGTGCATTGTTAAACGATGTTAATATGCTGGCAGGTAACAGTTGTTTTCCCAAAACGCGGCAAATAAATTTTTCTGTCAGGTTGTTGAAAGTTGTAGGCAGTTGTTACATTTTCCCAAAACGCGGCAAATTTTCTGTAAGAAATGGTGGTTGAAAGTTGTACATGCGAGGTTTGCTATTTTGTGATTAAAGAATTGATTAAACAACAATTCAGTATCAACTTTCTCTGCAAGTTTAATTTCTCAGTTAAATATCAGTAGATGAACGTAAAGTTAGAAATGAGCTTTAAGGAGATCGTGTTTGTAAATGGGATCTTTGTAAATACTAAAATAAAAACACTCGCGATAATTGTCTCGCTTTGGGTTTATCTTCTTGCAACTGTGCGTCATTCATGCGCATGCTAATTGGTCCACTCGCAGCCCCTACCTGGCAATGACTTATCTTCAGAGAACATAGTTATCTTGCATTATCGCACGTTATCATGAATTATCCGAGTAATTACCTCCAAAGTATTTTTATGAATAACAGGGCGTTTTTCGCATGCGTTTTGCGTTATTCATCAATCTAAATGATGCGGTTAGTTCATGTGTCACAGGATTTTACTTGTCTCTTGATAAGCTCAAAATACAGATTAAATTGGTAAGTTGCGGGTCATTTGTTTCATTTATAATACATTTGCAACAATGCATTTATTTGTTCTATGCAGAGTCGTAAATTTTGTGAGGTGTTCTTACCTCTTAGCTTGAAACACGGAACCTAATAAGCACCACCTGATAGACCATTTTGCATAGATACCACTGTTGTATGATATAAAGCAGTGGTTCTCAAACTTTTTAAGCACCCTTTGTAGAATTTGTCAAGTCTCGCGCTCACCAAAAAAAATGAACAGCTAACAATAAGCTACAAATAACAGATAGTTCGGCGAAAGTATGTTTTATTCAAAAAAAAACGTTGAAAATTCGTGGATGAAACGTAAATAATGAAATAAGTAAAAAGTTTTGAAATGTAAATATCCAAAATAAGCCGGGAAAGGGCAAATCTAGCGAATATTTTTATTTTCGAATAGCTTCACGCCTCCTCAAATTGTCTGCGTCCCACCGTTTGAGAACCACTGAGATAGACTATTGTATATCCGATTTGACGGGCACAATCTACCCTATTTAAACCATGGAAATAACCGAACCCGATACCCACAGCTTCGTTGTTGTTCATCCAAATGACAGTTCCGCCTGATTTTAAGAAAAAATGAAATATTCACTTTGCGTGCTTGAATTTCCTTTTAGAGTACGACAGTAACCATGAAATAAGAATGGCGGTGAATATGAAAATCAAAAGTCATATTCAATAATACCGTGCTAATGTGTTGTACGGGAGCATATTCGTGCAGACTATACCATGCATTAATAAGCTGTTTCCCTTTTATTTCTGGGATCGAACTTGTTTTCGACTTATCCACCCCATTAGCTTGGAAATGTTGTTTTTCACGTTTAATGCACTCGCGTGTCATTCAATGGCTTCACCCTAATGGTATTTAGTCCAAAAACAAGAAAAATTCCTCTCAAATGGATTAAAAAATCAATGAAGTCTGGCAACGCTCATTCGTGACCGCCAGTCGTGGGCTCGTTTGAACAGGAAATATGTCAGGTCAAGGTTGCAGTCTCGGTTCATGAATCGGGAAAACGTGACATCGTCTCTAGTTGACCACACTATTGAAAATTTTGGAAAACTTTAGTCGTTTTGTAGTTATCATAATTACGGAAACTATTACACTACATGATATAGTGCGATGCCGAAAAGCGGATACACGAAATATCACAATATATAAACACATGAAAAGACATTGACGCATGAAACTCTTATATTAACAGTAGAAAAAACAATGCACAATATAGAAAATCACATTTTTGACATCTCTGCTGCAAAATGATCAAATTTAGAAGCTGCACAACAACTTAAAATGTAATTTTAAAGCACATTTTCAGTTCGAATTTAATTCAAACGTCTAACGAGTTCGACCGCATATTACGAATCCATTCAGCAAATTGAATAAATATAGATTGAATCAAGTTTTTGTTATAAATACACAAATTCTTGGCAAGAAATTGTTCGAAATAGCAAAATTACTTTGCGGCAGTGTGTTTCCCCCTTTATGGTACAGCCCGAATAACAAGGGCGGATGTTAAGATAGGTAATGCCATATTGATTAGTATCGGATAGAATTTAAAATTAGGTACTCGCAGAATCAGATAAAATAAACGAATCTTTTCCTCAGTATAAAACTTACACATTTTTCACATAAATATAAAATTGCCTAATGAAATATACAAAGCCTATTTCACCGATTCAAAAATACGATATGTTTTAAATGAATTTCAAATAAATTCGGGTAATTATGTCATTTGTTATATTAATCTATTCAAAAATTGATGTCTCGTGGTCAATCAACGCCGTTCTTGATAAGCGTAATTTGGTAATTCAAAAATGCGTAATATATGAGTCGCATAATATTCGGTTCATTTTCGATTGTAAATAGCATTTGGATAGCCTTACTATTAACCGTAATCCAAAAGTGATGCCACCTTTGCCATCGAGCGCCGTTGTGTAAACGCTACAAAACTTTCCAATGTGATTGAACGCATCGTAACGTCGTCGCCTAATTCCATGAGTTGGACATTTATTGCGTTAATTAAAATCTGTCGGAGATCCCAAGACAATTGTGAAATTGTCATCATGTAGTCGGGGTCATCCACGTTCATTGTAAGCAGCAGATGGTCGAGTTGACATTTTATGGGCATATTTAAATCGTTGGAAAAATGCATGTCAAGTTAGTTCCATGGATGCCCGCAATTTCGATTAGCGAGAAATAAAATTGATCGGCTACACAGTCATATGAAACCGAAGGTAATATTACGAAATCCGTAATACGATGCCAGATAAGATTCGACTTTACGCAATTGTAGAATTAAGTTTATGCC